CTTGACTAGCCTATTGGTCCCAAGCAAACGATTAACGTACCCCATTCTAGCCAAAATTCTACTACTACACAATGTTTGTTTTGATTCGCTATGAAAGTTTGACAGATAAAATGAGGGGTTAGTGGATTTTCCTAGAGTCGGTGTATAATGAGTCACGCCAAGAGTGAAGCCAAGTCTACCTATTGAACCGTCAAACCGGCTACCTATCGGGCAAAATAAACAAACATTACGATGCTATGAAAGGTCCACGAAAGGTATTGCAATAAAATATAAAATATAATTGAAGAAATGATCATAAACACGGTGAGCATTAAATTGTCATGGGATACGTTCGGTAACGATCAGTAATGAGAATTTCTACTATTTTTTGTTAAGATAATTTGACAAAAACACTGATATAATAATTTACTACAGCCGCATTTTTTTCTCTCGCTAGAAGTCATTTGAAGTTGTTGTAGAAGTCCTATGTGGCCAAGTGAAAAGAATGGGAATCTTTCGAAAACCGTGATGCGAGTTCAACTGTTTTTCTCTTGGCGTGACTCATTATACACCGACTCTAGATTTTCCCATGTTTCGAGGGGTGAATCGATTAGCTTGGGACCGAAGAGAGTACCAGAGCTGAGCCAAAAAGTTGAGCACGTTATTTCGAGACCTTCTAGTCTTAAGGGCCACCCACATTAGATCCGTTTGCGTTGCGTTGACGTAAATTTGACAGATAGACAATAGATTCAGCTGTCACTTTGCCGCAACGCGTCCGATCCGGATCTAATGTGCGTGGGCCTTTAGAGTTACCTCTATGCTATTACCATAGAGGTAACTCTAAGACAAGTAGGTCCCGAAGAAACGTGCTCAACTTTTTGGCTCACCTCTGGTACTATCTTCGGTCCCAAGCTAGTCGAATCACCCCTCGAAACATAGGAAAATCCAATAACCCCTCATTTTATCTGTCAAACTTTCATAGCGAATCAAAACAAACATTGTGTAGTACTAGAATTTTGACTCGAATGGGATACGTTAATCGATTTGCTTGGGACCAATAGGCTAGTCAAGCAGTGAGTCAATTTAAAATCGTTAGTTTCGTATTGATTGTTGCTATTACGCTCACGACATTATTCGATTGGGTTCGAACGGGATTTGATTGGCTTCGAGCCGGCGCCGGTGGTGTAGTGGTAAGCGTGACTGCTTTCTAACACCCCAATGGGTCTGGGTTCAATCCCAGCCGAGGTCGGTGGGATTTTTCTGAGGCATAAAAATCTCTGGTCACGTCTTCCTTCGGAAGGGAAGTAAAGCCGTTGGTCCCGGCCACATTCGATTGCCCTCAATGGATGGCAATCGATGTCCGTCGGTGATTGGCACTAGATTGCGGAACAGAGCGGAACGTTAAATAAAGGACAGAAGAAGAAGAAGAAGAAGAAGAAGATTGGCTTCGAATCGAGCAGCAATCACTAAAACCTGTTTTCCCGAAGTTCAATCCAAAAGAACCGGAAAACAAACCTGCATTAAGGCAGTGTTCTATTTGGTGACAATCATTGTTTAAATATTTTGTTTGCTGAATTCTCAGTAAATTATAATTATGCCGTGCTAGCTCGGCTATATGTATTGAAGAGCCTGAGATTCATTTTTAACTTTGTACATGTACAACTACGCTTAACACTTATTAGCTACTATACAAAGCAATACAAGGTTAGGTTATCTTTATTCAGCCAGAGGCTGGTTCATCTCTTCAAAGCAATACAAATAAACAATACTCGCGTCACTTTTCAAATAGACCAATGTAACATATCCACCACTTTGAGAATATCGAAGTTGAAGTTCGACAGATTATGATTTTAACTGTTTAGAAATAATACATTTTGCAATACTGTTTTTAATTCAGTCAGTGAATAATAACGTTGAAAATTCAGTAGAAACGGTAAAATCACAATTTACTTTGAATTTCATGCTACTATATAGAAAAAAAATTACATAGGACAAATCGAGTTGTACATCGGACATGTTACATACACAGAAAAAAAAGTTGTTGAATATTAAATCCAAACTGCTGCAACCAGGTCAATCCATCGGTTGTGTAATATAACGTTGTACGATGTACATCGATTTTGCGAACAAAATTACATCCATTGATGTAATATTGTATCTGCTTTTTGCTATTACATCGTTATTTCATACATCAGCTTGAAATACATTGATCGATATTACTTATATTAGCAAAAGATGTGTAGGACGATTTTTCTCAATGACATAATCAATGAGTGTTACATTGGACTTTTTGTCTACATGATACTAGATTCCCTTTCACAGATTTCAGAGTAGAGTACCTTACTTTAGATTGGCCCACCTCTGGAAAATGAGCACCAATTATGTTAGGCAGTCCGAATGACCGAAGTAACAATCATGTACCCATCATTTAAAACTGTACATTGGACAATTTTTGATATATGATTATCTTAAATAAATGAAAGTAAATTTGCATGGATGTTTTTGTATCACATACAATGATATAAGAGCAATAGTTTGTATCGCTTAACTCGATTTGTTTACATTTGTTACTTAGGACCTTTTGAGAAGTGACGCGAGAATACAGTAGTTCGTATCTGGGACGGAAATTGACAATCGGATAGCGATTTCGAGCCAATTTGCGGTCAAATCCGAGCCAGTTTCTGATCGGTCGATTTGACAGTAGCAATCGAGGAATAAAAAGGACAGAGGGATCGCATCAATCTGGGGCAGTGATGCCGGAATCAATGTTGACGTCAGTGGCGTTGTTAATTTTTTTATATTTGCGAAAGGAAAGTTGAAAAATTGAAAGCACTGCAAATTTTAAGCGATGGGTATTGTTGTTTGTTTATGGTTGTTTTTATTGTGTTGAGCAAAAATGATGTACAAGCTGCTAAACTGCTCCAAAATATTTTACATTCTTGGCATTATTGGTCAACTCCGTCAAACACCACGCACAACTTTCCAAAGGGTATTCTTCAAAAACATTAAGAAGAGTTAGAAGCTCGATTGTCAAGTCCCGTCCCGGGTTCGTATGCCTCCGCCATGGCAGGATGGCCATGTTTTATTTTCTACTAACTGAGTGTGCCCGGCCTTGCTCGGGATTCAATATTGGCTTGAGTTTATGCGCCGATTCAACAAAAGCATGCTATATTTTCTGTTTCATTTGTATTGGAGCCCCCCCCCCTTACAGAGGGGAAGGGGTCTCGAACCATCATAAGAACCTTTCCCGGCCCCAAAAACCTCTGCATACAAATTTTCACGCCGATCGGTTCAGTAGTTTCCAAGTCTAAGTTGACCAGTCTGGCGTTTGAGTAGAAATAATTGCCAGAAAATTCAAAGTTGCCTTTCGGACTTTTTCGAAGTTTATCAATTTTATATAATTGTTCTTCAAGCATAGGATTATAGGCTAATCCTTGAAGCATAAGCTTATAGAAAGAATTATTTTCTGGATAGAAGTGAAATTTTATTCGAGTTTCGTTAGGATGGCCATCTTGCCCCACTTTTCTCTACCCCACTTATTTTTCAATAACTTTCTTTTTTTTCCTTGATTTGTTTTCCTTTTTTCCTTTATTTAACGTCGGTCTCTGTTCCGCAATCTAGTGCCAATAACCGACGGACATCGATTGCCATCCATTGACGGCAATCGAATGTGCAGGAAGGCAGCTTCCACACCTGCGTAGGATATCGCACCCATTCAACACACATGGGCCGGGACCAACGGCTTTACTTCCCTTCCGAAGGAAGACGTGACCAGAGATTTTTATGCCTCAGAAAAATCCCACCGACCTCGGCTGGGATTGAACCCAGACCCATCGGGGTGTTAGAAAGCAGTCACGCTTACCTCTACACCACCGGCGCCGGCTGATTTGTTTTCCGTCGATCTTGTTTTCCGTGCTGAGCACCAATGCTACCGACGCCAGGGAGGCAACTCCCACACCTGGACCCTACCTATTGACCCATCAACTCATGAACCGTGGACCAACGGCTTTACTTCTCTTCCGAAGGAAGGCGTGTTCAGAGATGTTATGCCTCAGAACATCCCGGTGGCGCTGACTGGGATTTTCAATAACCTTCGAATAAGTGCAGAATCCCGGTCAACCTGCATAGATTTGAAAACTTCAGGCTATTTGTGATCGATTGAAACCAATTTCCGTTAAATAATCTCGTTTTCGTTTGCATGTAACACTGTTTGATATTACTAACCGCACCGAGCCTTTATTCCGGGTGGTGAGCGAAGCTGAAGAAGAAGAAGATGACTATGGGCCCCTTCTCGGAACGAGTGTTTTGTTAGTGGACCAGGTCTGCGTATCAAGGTTGGATTCTGTGATGATAAGTATCACATAAAAGGTAAAATAGGTAGCATCATCTTTATCGAAATGTAAGTATTATTGCTAATAATCATAACTAGATGATATGCAAATTTATATGATAGATACCTGGATCAACGTTATTTAAACATGCGCATTCAATCGCGATGGCATCTAATTCTGCATTTTAAACCTACCCAATACTGGATCGAGAATCGTTCAAAAAACCTACCCAATACTGGTTCTGTTTGATAACCGTTTCGTAATTAATTATATTTAGGGAGTCCCAAATACACTATATATAAAAAATTCAATCATAATAAACTGTAATAATACAGCGATATTTTTGCCGGATAACTAACTTCAGAACGAAGCTATATCATAGACAGCATCACCAGAAATGCAATAACAATAAAACTGTTAATCGCCTTCCGAATCAACCGGATTCCGACAATACCAAACGGAGTCGTTCCACTGAAACGAGAAATAATGATAAACCCGGTTCTGTAGAGTACAATCTCGCACTCTCGACTAACTCTGTTTCTATCTTCTCTTGTTCCTTTCCAGGTCAGTATCCGCTTCTGAACATCCACCGACAATTGACCACTTCCCACCACTTCGGCTTATCTTGCCAAACGGAAATAAAATCCTTTGGTAACAAAAACCCCATAAGCTCATATTCTAGGTACTCACCGCAAATAACGCCACTTTGCTTGTTTCCGCAAACAATTTTTACCACTGGATCATTTTTTATGAAAAAATAACTCTGCTGTTGTGGTGGTCTCGGGGGGCTGAGACCGTTGCATTGCTGCTGCTGCTGTAGATCTGCAGCGCTGGTCACCATGGCCATACCGGATGAAGCAGTTGATGAGCTGGTTTGCCGTTTCGGCGTAGGCGTTGGTTCTCCTCCACCGTGGTCATCATCCGTCGTTGGTTGCTGCTGCCGCCCTTGCCGAAGCGGTTGGATGTGCCGGTGCCGGACGGTTCCAATCGTGTCGGATAAATATGATTTCCCGAGGGTGAACACGGCTCCCGTTTCTATTGTCGAACGGTTCCGGTGGTTTGTAGTTTGCAGGTTGTGAGGTCAGGAACGGGTGTGTATGTGTGCGTGTGGGGGGGTGGATTTATTATTTGTGGTTCGGGATGAGAAAAAATGCGAAAAGTTTGCGATTAATAATGTTGATTCGTTTTCGCTGGGATTGCGAGCGGAAAAGTTTTACCGGTTGGGTGTGTTAGGTAAATATTTGAGGAGTTCATAAACGGTTTTCGAATTTGCGGAGGAGATGTTCGTCGCACAGTGGTTTAAAAGTTCATTTTGACGCTCTCAATTAATAGCACCGTGTAGAGTGGATTTAGAGTAATGACGCCTTGAGCAAAATTGATGGGTATTGACATATTGCATCTTTGGAAGAATTTTGTGACTAATCCCCCTAAAAGTGAGATGAAAAATTTATTTTTCCCCAATGTCGAGATAGAGCGTTAACGTCTTCAACAAAGTTATAGCAAAAATTGTTACACATAACTTTGCTAAAGACATGAAAGTCGTATATTTCACCTAAATCGAAATAATAGAGAGGGTTGTTTGAGTACGGACCCCCAAAAACACTTTCTCTACAAAAAAACACATAGGGGAAATGCAGGTAATGTCGGCCTAAGTGTCCCTTATTTGGGTCCATATATAAATTCAGCAATCGACTAAATTTTCAATACAGACCAAAAATATCCATTAGTAACGTCCCAATAACGCGTTCATTTAGATACAATTGATAAATAGCAGATTTTTAGCGATGGGCCCAATCTTAGATCCATAGGCCAGCATTAGAGACATTTCCCTTATTTTCTTTTATTTTAGCTCTTCACTATGTTCTATAAAGTTGTTTGTCAAACTAAAATACACAACTTTCTAGAACATACTATACCTGCATGATTTGAATACGATAAGGTATTGATAATAATTTCTTCAATTTTCAACATACTTTGGACTTGTGTATCTTTCATTGATGCAGGTAGGTGCAGACGAGGTCAAATGCATCTAAAACTACATTAAAAGAGCTTTCAAATGGCGGTTCACTTGTCCGTCCAAATTTCAGAATTTGTAAAAAAAAAATCAGGCGTAACATTTGATAACAGCACAAAAACTTTTGTAAACAAACTTTTTAAGGTCCTTTACACGCGAACCGAAGTACGCTCATGCAAACCATCAACATCATCGAATAGGGGAAACTCTCACCTTTCCGAAAGTGGTATTGGTTTGCGTGGGTGTACTTTGGTTCGCGTGTAAAAGGCCTAAGAAAGTTTGTTTACAAATGCTTTTGTGCCGTTATAAAATGTTACGCCTGATATGTAATTTGAAAAAAAAATATTAAAGATGATAATCCTTTTAAAAAAAATTCAGTATCCTGAACATGGAATCACTTCCGAGATCTAGTATTTTAACTTATCTTATTTCAGTCATAACATTATCTCTGAAACCTTAATTGAGGGGGTTAGAAGGAAAGGGGTGTAAGTTACTTTGATCGATTCTCTTCATCGACTTTCTCTTTCGTTAATAATTCAGCTGCAAACACATTCCTTGATTTATGTGACATTCTGCTTATGTGACATCAAGCTTCTATTCACTACCAGACATTTCTGCGACTTTACTGACTGAGCCATTCAAACAGTAACTGCAGTAGCATGTTAAAATATACATTTTTCTTTCAGTTTAATTCTTCATCTGATGTATAAGCCTTCTTTCAACCTGATCTATAAGCTCACTTCTAATCTACGATTATAACTTTTCACAGTTTTATCCTAAAACCATGGCTTCCTACAAGCGGACGCTACTTTCTAGTTTTGTTATTGTAGTTTCACTTCAAACAGCAATTTACAGCCAAACACTGTATCCATACTAAGCAGCTCTATCCCCCTTCCATGAATTTTAATTTTCATTAGTTTCACTTCATCCAACATTTTCAATTCACATTTGCGTTTGAAAGCATCTCCGTTGAAACCCGTTATTTGAACTCCCCGAAAAAAAAAATGCATCAACCGACGTGCTTTTCCGTAATATTCGCAATCCAATACAATGTGTTCGTAGAATTGGCGTTAGGATCCACTTGTGCCAGTTTTTCCATATGCAGTGCACGGCCAATGAGGTCAACCCAAATCTGAGTTCAGTTTACTCATAATCGCAAAAAGCACAGGAACTCAGCGATGAGTAAATTTGCCTCATGCCAACAACATTCCTAATATAAAAAAAGTAACGATTGAATTCTCTGTAGTGCCCTAGACTGAGTAAAATTTTCGTCAGTTTCCTTATCTTCCGGCAGATTTTGTTGAACTGAACTCAAATTTGGGTTGATCTCGTAGGCCGTGTGTATCGCACCTGGAATTTCCATTTTCGCTCCAGCTCCAGCATAAACCAATGCACAATGTTTTCCACTTCACTGTTTCACTACGAGACCGGTGTGAGCTGTGTATGAGTATGAACGTAATTCACCATGCAAAGTAATAAGTTTTAATTTTCCTAGGCAGACAAACATAGCAGCTCCTTTCACATGAATGTGTCGAAAAATGTTAACTTTTTAATGCTTTCAGTTTAGAATAATGTAGATTCATGTAGGAACTTTTGAGAAGTTTTAAACACACTCGTTACACTGGCACTTGCCATTACCGTTGGTTCTTTGTTTCTAGTCCATGAGTTGTTGTTAATCCTCTTGAGGTCAGTTTACTACTGGCAAGAAAGGACGATAAGCTCCAGCAAAAAAAAAACAGAAGTCCTGTCGAGTGCCAGCAGACTGTGGTGTGGTTCCGAGCTTAGTATACGAAGTTCTTCGCACACGGTAACACGGGAGGTGGCACTTTGTGGTTTGTGTGTTTGTTCGTCCTTTTACTGTTCCTGTTGCACGCGAGGCTCAGGTCATTTGGGTCTAAGCAAGGAGGGGAAAGCAACCATCATAGTCGTAGTGGCGGGTGGAAACTTTGAATGGCACTGATTCGAGTGGTCGGAAATGTGACTGTGTGTTTGTGCGTGCAGTAGAGGTGAATTCTAACGACGTTGTCCTTGCAAGAAGGCGATGGTAAGAAATGGTGGATGGAATGTATGTGTCAGAGAAAATTAGTAGGGTCAGATCGTCTCGACGTTGTAAATTTAAATACCGAGATTAGAAGCGGTCTATAAATAGGGGAACGCTTTTTAGAATGGTGCAACAGGTTTTTAAATATGTTTAATGAAGTTAATCAAATAGGCCCAAAATATACCGATAAGATTTATGAAGTTGACTCATATTTAAGATCTTCAAAGTAATAAACATCTAACCCTCAAGGCCTCTGAATTTAGTTTTGGGCCTCAGATAGCCTATTCAGTTAAGGCCCGGTATTACCAAGCCGGAGGCGATGGATTCAATTCCCAGTTTGGTTTATAAAATCTTTCGGTTAAGCAATTTTGTCGCGTTGTGCATAGATCACAGAGCTGCATTGTTAACAAAAGCTGTTATGTCCTAATTCCAGCTCTATCTAGAAACATCGCTAGAACTGGTCAGGCATATTGGCGATATATGAGCAAATCGGATGACTGTTTCTTTTTCCAATGTCCAGTTTGGTCTTGTCTACGGATTTTTAAATTTATTAGGGATCGATCTACGAACAGACCATACATAGTATGGATTTTCTAGATTTTTAAACATTAAATCAAAGTGTTTGTTACTTTACGACAAACATAGTGTAGTACTAGAATTTCGACTGTAATGGGGTAAGCGGTGGAAACTAACGATTTTAAATTGGCTCACTACTTGACTAGCCTATTGGTTCCAAGCAAATCGATTAACGTATCCCATTCTAGTCGAAATTCTAGTACTACACTATGGAAGTTAGACAGATAAAATGAAGGGTTTGTGGATTTTCCTATGTTTCGAGGGGTGCATCGATTAACTTGGGACCGAAGATAGTACCAGAGCTAAGCCAAAAAGTTGAGCACGTTTCTTCAGCACCTTCTAGTCTTAGAGTTACCTCTATGATAGAAGTATCATAGAGGTAACTCTAAGACCAGAAGGTCCCGAAGAAACGAGCTAAACTTTTTGGCTTAGCTCTGGTACTATCTTCGGTCCCAAGTTAATCGATGCACCCCTCGAAACATAGGAAAATCTACGAACCCCTAATTTTATCTGTCAAACTTTCATAGCGAATCAAAACAAACATAGTGTAGTACTGGAATTTATACTAGAATGGTGTACGTTAGTCGATTTGCTTGGAACCAATAGGCTAGTCAAGTAGTGAGCCGATTTAAAATCGTTAGTTTCGAATTGATTGTTGGTAGTATGATGTCCGTATGAAACAGTTTGCATAGCGAGGATCAAGTCTGTCCGGAGTAAATTCGTTAGTTACGCTCTTCGCCACCTTTCTTGGAATGATCCAACGAACCTTCCACCCTACGAAGATCGCTGCCAACTTCTGGATATTGACACTCTTGAACGTAGGTGGAAGATTACAAGGGCGTAGCCAAGTTTCGAGCTAGGGAGGGTCGAAAAAAAATTACTATTTGGCCGAATGCTATTTCACCGAACGCCATTTCACTGAAAGCCTTTGTGTTGCTGAGTTTAGGGGAGGCAATTGCCCCCTCCCCTCTCGCTTCGCCTATGGAACCTATTAACCAGGTGGTTTCTGCAGCAAAAGTGCTGATAAGCAAAATCGACTCTCCTGGGATTTTGGACGAATTCGAAATCTATGTACCTACGATCGAGGAGTTTCCTGCATCTCGGACCCCGAGCAGCTAATTACGGATTACATGATCCAATACGGTTCATTTCTGCACGTTTCTATGCTTTTTTCGACTTCAACCTTTCGTCACCGGATTCAACGTAGTCTGCTGGATATGTGACGGTTAGAGAGCGTCTAGTATAAGAGAGGAGCGGATTCAAAACAAACTGCATTGGCACCTATGCCTAGGTTATTTCTAGCAACGCTGCCAATGCAATCAAGATAGGCGCTGTTAGATTGGCTCTGGTTTTGACAGTTCGTTTGGCTCAAAACCAGCCAGTCCCAAGGCGGATAATCAAAGGTGCCACCAGGCTTGCTGAAACTCTTCAAACTCACTGGAGGTTTTAAAACACTCTTATCTTGCGAGTTTAGCCAGCCCTCACCTCGAGTGAGTGGCGGCAGGAATATGGAAGAAGTAAACAAAACCTCCTCGAGAGATAGGGAGAGTGAACTTCAGCGAGAGTATGATTTGACGTGACGTGCGCTTTTAGAGACTCCGGATGACTTTTTTGTTCGACGCAAGAAGGTCAGAGTTCACCCAGAGTGAGAGTAAAGCTGGGTTTAGACTAGGCAAGTCAAATGATTTGAGTTGAATCTTAGATAATTAAAACATAGATTGCTCAGTCGGACATCCCTGCTTTTACTCGAAAAGTAACATTGATAGCGCGCTATCTGTCGGCCAACGGGTGAGCTAAAAGTTTAGCAGCCGAAATGGGTGCGCATTTCGAATCAAACCTGCCCTGCGTACATTAATGTTTTGGATGGCGCATTCCACGTCTGACGTTGAAAATTGACATTTTTTCACATCGGTTTTGTTTTGCTTTTTATTAGCTGTGTTCAATCTTAAGTGGTGGAGAAATATTGTCAATATTATTGACAATGTGCAACTATATTGTCATGAATATCGTCAATCTCTATACATTCCGATTCCGACTCGCTAAATTGAAAGTCAACATCCATCGAACTAATGCCAACGTGAAATTTGGCTCGCAAGGTTCCGATTTAAGGACGGAACAGCTGTTGGTAGCAGTCTGCAGATAAGAAAAGTTTATAAAATATTATTGAAAATTAATAGACATCAATTAACGCTAATTCCTGAGTTTTGCAAAGCGGAATAATGAAGTCGTCATCCTGGAAGTGATTGCTGCAAATAACCGACTCTTTCGATAATTTCATGGCACCGCAGACGTTAATCCAATTCTCCAAGTCTCTTGAGCTGGAACCCAAGAAAATATCATTCAAATGTTCATCAAAAAACAACAGCTGGTTTTCACTGGAACCTTGTGAAACGTTTTTGAACTTGGACTGGAAGCAGCTATCGTACAATTTTGAAACTCCCACCCGAGCCACCGTCGAAACCCTATTTTGGTTTCTGGTATGAATCACTGTTGTTTTAGACAGAAATCGGTAATCAAAGTGTTTCTTCACGCAAATGCAGATATACACGTTAATCACAAATTACTCTGCCTATGATTAAATAAGCCGTATACAGCGTGTGTTTACTCAAATTGGGCGTAAATTGGACGAATTAAAACATGGGAAAATTTATGACTATCTTGCATAAAAATAAATCATATAGAGATTAGTGACGTTTAACGCACGCACACTAGAGGGAGAAACGCCGTGTAAAGTTGTTTATTATTTTCCTCTGGCTAACCTAAAAAATGTATGAAAGTAGATCTGTCAAAATGAGTTTGACATCGATTTGTTATGTATTTTCCTCGGATATTCACTAACACGCTCTCACATATCGCACCGTACGTGAAAATCTCTATATGAACACCATTTGGGTTTGTTTGCTATGCACCCAATCAAGATAATTTCTTTGTGCAATCTAAGTAAATTAATCTTAGCGTGCAAAGTTATGAATGCGCAGGGAGAAAAAATAGTTCACCCGTTGACCGCCTTTCTCAGTAAGGCGCCACATTTTTGTTGTCAGTTTATTTTCCGCAGTGGCAAATCTATGTTTTAATTATCTAAGGTTGAATTCAAATGGCTTGAAAAGTTGAGCCTGTTTCATCTTTTTTCAATTCAAGTGAGTTGATCAAGTCAGTTGAATGGCATGGTTTACACGTTCATTTCGCGTTCAAGTCAGTTGAATTCAACTGACTTGATCAATTGACTTGCCCTGTCTAAACCCAGCTTAAGAGCGTGTGAAAACATGAACATGGCAGCAAACCTCTATGCCAATCATACAAGGTCTGGAATAACAGACAGCTTGCTGGTGTTAGAAGCAAACATGTTGTAAACATTGCTGAACAAGCGAATGACGATATCACGGCAGCACAACATTCCATACTGCGAATGGCAGACGTGTCGTCACAGAAAACAGCTGTTTCGTGTAAAAACATAAACATTGCGATGAAATACGAACACCACTAAACATTTCCACATTTCACTAATACCAATAAGCCGGTTGGGCCAGACCTTGACATCGAGCAAACCTCACTCTCATTTTATCCCCCATCGCTCACAAGCTCTGAAGCTAAGTGAAATGATTGGGCAGCAGGCATTCTACTCCTCATAAAAATGCTACGCTCGGCTCATTTCGAACTCGCTATCAATCCTGGGTGCCGAATGAAAAAAGGTATAATCAATCCTCCTCGTGTTTATTCGCGAAATTCACATCACTTGCGTACACTGATAAATTGAACTATTCCCATTTTGCTTGAAATTTAATCAAATTGACATTAAACTCAGTTTAATCATATCGAATGATTAAAAATTAATCCTTTCTTTCTAAAAAATAAGCATCTGATATTAATTCCAGTTTAATCATGGTTGATTAGATTGTAGATTATCTTTTTTCGAATTAATTCTAATCATTTTTGATTCTATTTTAATAATTTTTGATTGAATTTTAATCTTTTTTGATTATATATCAGTATTGAAAAAGAATAAAATTTAATACTGGAAAGATTATTTCGATTTTAATCATGCATGACTACTGCCGAAGTAATTATGGCTCGGACTCAATAAGGTGAAGCGGGAATCTGCATAATTTTCAAGTTTTTTTGATTAAATTTATCTTTGAGTGTAAGAAATCAATTTGGCAAGGCATTTGTGACCAGCATACACATTCTG